CAATAATTGTATTTTTTGTCAGGTTATTCTAGAGACGTGTGGGACTGGTTTATATTGCCAGTCTGGCTGCAAATATGCAGACTGATACAATGCTACTCACTTATTCTAGTTGTTACATAACTCTTAAGTTTGCAGAATGAAAAAAAGAGCTAACCATTGATCCAGCTCATATTTGTTTGGTTAGCCTATTTGCTATTAATGCATGTATCTGAGTTATGCGGAATGGATTTCTGTGTCCATATTAATCAGAGTGATCTACACTTATATAGCACTTTCCATTAATGAGTTGAGGTAAGGAAGTATTTTTATCCTTATTTTGTAAATGGAGAGATTGCGGCATAGAGAGGCTAAGGACTATATTTTCAAAAGTGTCTGAATTAGTTCTGAGTATCTAAGCACTTGAGTGGCCAACCCAAGACATCTGAGGCCTGATTTCCAGGGGTTTTGAATACCAATGACTTCTTTTGCCTTGACTGAGAGGTATAGATGCTCCTCTCTTCTGAAAATCAAGCAATAGGTTTCCCAAGTAGCCCATAAATAATTAGTGGACACTTTTGAAAATTTAGTCATAAGTGGCTTCTCAAAGTGCACACAGGAAATCTGTGAAAGATCCAGTATCAATACACTAATCTGATGACTCCTACTCCTATGTTTTATCCACAAGACCATTCTCCCTCCTCTACACTGTTACTTTCAAACAGATTGCTACAGAGTCTAGCAAGGAATTAAAAAAAGCATAAAGCATACAGCCCAATCAGTTGAGCAGGAGCAGTAGTTATGACTCATAGACACTTTGCTCATAGAGAAGATGCATTTGAGGTTTCTCTTGGATGACTGCTTTGTTTAAGGAGTCATCCAATAGAACAGAAAGTTTTTTGTTGTTCTAGCTCTCATCAGTAATTTAATAGAAGAATCATATTTTACCCCTTTTTATTCAGTGTCAACAATAAAACCAAGCCCACCAATATAGGTTTACTAAATTTGAAAGAGGACAGACATAGGCCCCATTCTGCCTTTGGATGCAGGCACATGAATCCTATTTACTTTAGAGGGGCCCATTCATGCAGCTGAGGTCAGAACTTGCCCCAAGTGATCAGTGAGATTTGGATATATCCTGAATATTATAGAAGTCAATGGACAGATTATCACTGTCTTCACTGGGGTTTTAATCTAGCTTTTAGGGAGGAAATCTATTCAATTTACACACCCAACTCCCATTGACTTTAATGGGAGTTATGCATTCACCCATACCAAAGAGGGTGAGGAATGGGGAAGAAAGCCCCAAAATGTATACATTGACCAAACATATTGATAAATCAGGAGGGTCTTTCCTGAACTTGTATAAAGAATTGCAACAGAAACAAAACAAAACGGCCCACTAAGGAAGAACTACTGGTTATATAAGCAATTGTTGTACAAATAAGAAATAAAACTAGGGATGCAGAGAACAATCTGAAATCTTTTATGTTAAAATGCCTTTTATTTTCATCTTGTATTTTTTTGTCAGCCAACTCAATGCTCATTCAGTTTCATTTTGTGTGGAGAGCCAGGGATATTAAAGTCACTAAACATAGTAGAGAGATTTCAATTCAGAGTTGGAAGCTAGAATTAGAACTGGGGTTATCCACATTTTTCTGTGTCCATACTATCAAATTTCAAGATTTTTTGCCTCAGCATCTGTGGAAGATGGCCAGATTAATTTTAGGAGGCTGGGGTTTTGTCAGGCACTTTTTGTTTGTATTTATGTCATTTATTTGTCTCTCTCTATGACTTACAGCACAAAGTTTTAAAGTTAAAATCCATTAGAATTTCTTGTTTAAAAATAAATAATTTATCAGACAAATCCATGCAGTATTCTTAAGTGATGGAATTTAAAGGCTTTGCAACATTGTATTTTGTCCACCCATTTTAGTAATGTAAGTATTTACCATATTTCACTACTGCACGTCTGTTAAATCTTGTTAGTGAAGCTATTACTCATGGGAAATAACTCAAGAAGAATCTACCAAAAAAGCCTACTTTAAAAAGTCTGTTGTGTTCTGATTGTATAGCAGCAATAGAGCCTTAGAGCTTTAGGCCAGAAGGGGACCACTAGATCATCTAATCTGACCTCCTGTGTATTACAGTTCACCGATGCCACCCAGCACCTACATATTAAACCCAACAACGAAAATGAGACCAAAGTAAATGAGACCACTGGGAAACTAGACTATAAGGTACCACAGGCAGAGAATAGAAGGGACCAAGCTGCACCAGTGCTTGAGGCCTCTGCAATGGCAGGTATATGATTAAAGGAGATATACCCAGATAATCGTGTCAAGTAACTGGCATGTACACATTGCAGAGGAAGGCAAACAAAACACACAAAAAACCTAGGTCATTGCCCATCTGATCTAGAGGAAAATTCCTTACCAAGCCCACATATGGTGATCAGTTGGACCCTGTTCACGTGAGCAAGAACCAACCAGCCACCCAGGCAGTGGTAGAGAGAATACTTGGTGCCACCTC